AGCCGGGCTGCCGGCGGGGGCAGGTGCATCTTCCGAGAGCTGCCCGTTCCCGCTGTCGGACGCGGGCTGGACCGTCACCCCGCCGCAGTCGGTGCCAATGCTATTCCTCGCTTCGACGGAAGCGAGACCGGGCCTGTGTTTTCGGGGGAAAAGTGATTTATTAATATTTATACCGTCATAGTTAACAGCCTTTCCACCTGGAACGCCGAGCCCTGTTGAGTTACGCTTTGCATAGAAGCACGAGCAAAAGCCCCTGGCACAGACCGCGCAGGCTACGGGATAAGTTGCAGCTCACACACCGTGAACGGGCTCAGCAATTTCCCCAGGAAATCTGGGTTCAGAAATTTCCCTTTGGGAAGTGCAAGATTTGCGAGCCTCCAAGCTGTTTTGTCCGGGCCCTTTGTCCTCTCTTGCTTCCCCTCTTCCCATTCCGGATGAGGACCAGAACCAGAAGTGCTGAAATACCGTGGGCGGGGGGAGGTAAGCAGGAAGTGGGGCAGCGTTTGTGGGGAAAAGTGAGCATTTCCTCAAGGGAACGCTGTACTTATTCTAAAAGCTCCAGCAACTCAGATAAGTGACTGAAGTTTTGCATGCTCATCCGAACGGCTCTTGAATTCCCGCCTTTTGGGGATTCCCCATCCATCAAGAACCTAACTTTTCTATGATGATATTTTTTATTTTAAGTTTAATAGCACCATGGACCTGATGCTAACTAAGAATTTCATGCCTGTCATCATGCACTGTTACACAGCTACTTCAGACTCCAGAGCCACTGTAAGGACAGAGCCTTTGCCAAAAGCACAGACTCATATTTGAACTAACAAAGAATCTGTGTTAACAGCACAGAGCCAACAGCCCAATATTGGCTATCATGTAGTGGAGTAGCTCTTTTTCCTGCTAGGGAGGCTCATGTGGTTGTATACGGTCAGTATTTTAAAGAAAAAAAGTGATTTGGTATGCTTCCAAAATTATCTGAGCTCTTATGAAGCGTACATTAAGCACACATTTCAAGGCATCTCTTTGAATACCTTTTTGTGATTGAGCAGCTTTATTTTCACTGTTCATAAAAGCATGTTTAACTACCGATATGGTTCCTGTATGCAGCTTGTTGCTATCAGGTTGCATGACCGTAGGTTTGCACCCAGGTTTTTCAAGCTCTTCAGTGATTTCCGGTTTTGCCTAAGTAGCTCTGCAGCTGCTAGAGGCGGCGGGGTGGCAACAGCCAGCCTTCAGGAATGCAGGTCACCTCCCTGCTTCAGGAAGCGACGTGAAAAATGGTGTTTCTGACAAGGAAGTTACAGGAGAAAAACAGCCAGCAAGATTATCTTCCGTCTTTCTCAGGTTATGGGAAAGGCTGCCCTCTGTAATTTGAGGGGCCTCTTCTCACATTCCCTTGACTTTTTTTGGTGGTTAGAGCCCACTCTCCATTCTGCTTTCACTTGCTTGAAGACTGGACGTGCTGCACATGGTAAGGGACGTGGCTGACCTGATTTTTGTGGAGGTGGAGAATGTCACAGAGCTACAATTTCTAAGCTGGGTTAGGAGATAAACCTCCCCTCCCTTAGAAGATTTTTGTCCCAAGCACATCTAGGCTGAGGTGCGACCAATTTACCTCTGTTCTCGGCTGCCTCGAGCTCTCATTCAGCGGCACTTTCCTTCCTTGCACTTTCCTCCTGCCGGCGTACAGTGTGACCCATGCTCTGCACCGGTGGCTTCTAGTCTTTCTCTAACTAAACCTCCCTTGAGGAAGCTAGTAACGTTCCCTGCCTCACCGAGGCCTGCTCTTGGCCCCTTTCTCCTCCATGCCCAGCCCGGGGCTGTCACTGCAACTGCTCATCCTTAATAATTCCCAGAGCTCTGGAGTTGCTCTTGCCTCCTTGTGCTGCCTCCACCTAGGGTTCCCGGGGTGCTAAGACCAAGCTACTAAACCAGGCTGGTTTTGGATGACTGAGCCAAGCCACTGCACGCTCACTTCCAGAAATGCAGGGCTGAGACACTCGAGCAGCCCTGCGCAGAGCCAACGGAGAACTTAGTCTGGGCTCTGGGCTATGCTGCACTTCTCATATCCCCCAGCAGGGTCTGTCTTTGAACCTCTGCACTTGCTGGGGGTTCTGTTTGTGCTGTTGAATTACACCTTCACAATACTTTTCACAGTGAAAAAGCAGTAGCTAGACGACAAGACTGCAGCAAGTAGCTACAAACAGGAGAGCGTTACTGTCCGCCATGGACCTCAGATTTTTAGGAAGTATCGAGAAGTGAAACAATAACAACTGCGTATGTAAATACTGAAAAAAGTTCTTGACTAATTCTTTGAGTCTAATGTTTTTGCATGTTTTCTTATGTCTGTAAAAGCTTTCAAATAGACTGTGTATGACCCTTTTTCTTCTCTTTCTGCAAATATGCCAGTGAACAAGTTTGTTACCAGAAATGCTCATGGAGGGTGCAACTTTGTAGAAATCGTCCAAATTCTCCCCAGTAATCCTCTGCATCCGAACCCTGACCCTACCAGTTCTGCTCACTTACTGAATCATGCCAAGCTCAATTTTAAATATCACACAGTTCAGAAGACAAATCATGTTTGTAGAGAGTCACTGAAATCTTTCAGGCAAAAAAGTGCTTATCTGTGGGAAGCATTGCTTAGCTGTAGTTCTTACCTAGTTTGACAAATGTGAAATGTAGTTAAGCAACCAATCACTGCAAATAGCTTACCCAGCTCTGCTTGGAGTCCTTCAGAGTTAGCAAGTTTCTAATGCTAATTTGTCTGAAATATTTTAGCTTCAGAAAGTAACGTAAAGTGATGTGCTTATGATTAGATTTCAAATAGAGTGTATGCTGCAATACCCATGTGATGAGCTCAGCTGTCAGGACCTAAAAGCAGAGGCAGAGTGTTATCAGGACAAGTCCAGCATGCAACAGACGACTTTTCACAGCCAAACTCCATGTGTAGCCACTAAGTAAAGTTTTGTTACCCAGAGGCTTTGAAAGAGAGAGAAAAAAAAGGGTTCTGCAAATTAGATTTCAGGGAAATTAATTAGAGTCCTTTTCAGCCAAAGTCTGTAAGTGGTTAATACACCTTTGTTATAAACAACTTCTGCAGCCGTGAAAGTTATTGCAGCAATAATCTTTGTCCCTTGAGGTTTTGCTGGGAGAAACATGAAACTGTATTCCTCGTTCTCCCTGTCCTACTGACAGCTGGAGACTGTCTTTTTCCATTCCCAACACAGCTTTTGAGCTTAACAGACACTTTCCCTCCTCTTCCACAGATGCTGGGTGTGGTCCACACACTTCATTGCATAAAGCTGCTATAATTCAGTCTGCGACTATTATTCTGTGTTTTTCTTTTTTTCAAATGTACGTTTAACGTCATGCTTTCCTGACATAACCCATTGTAATGCTGCTCACCATCTGAGATTGCAGCTAGCTTCCTCCTCCTGCAGTGCTTTAGAAGAACAGCTTATTGAAAAGTGTCAGGCATCTTTTGAAAGTGTCTCTTGGATGCTTAGGGTAACAGTTCAATGAAGATATTTTCTTGTCCAAATTAGATCATCTCTCTTTATTTCATTTAGATTTACTGTGGATTTGAGAAATGTTTTGCTGGCTTGTTATGTCTTGCAGCTATAAGGCAGATCTTTTCGTGCACAAACAAGTCACTAATATGTTCTGAAAATAGATCCAGGGTGGGCTCATCCTTCATTCTCCAGCGCACTTTGGTCCTGTCTCTGCACAGTCGTTTGTCCGGGTCATCTGAGGACTGCAACACCTGCTTCTGAGCTAGTCTTCAGCATCATAAATGGCTGCCATCCCAAACTAGCACAGGGCAAGGGGAGCTTCCTCAGTGACTACCCTTTAAGGCAAGGGGGTTGCTGTGTTGGGCCTGAGTTGGAGTTTTTGTGTGCCATCAGCTTCGGGAGGGGAGTGTCACTGTGGGTGCATGTTTATGCAGGCACGAAAGGGTCAGTTTTCTCCTCAGGAGAAGCTCAGAGAAGGCATTTCTTGCTATTGCTGCTGTCTAGGAATCTGGGATGATGAATCCAGAAAGCCCAGGAGACATTATAAACCCTAATGTACAGTTGATAAAAGGATGAGACAGAGCCAAGGATGACTCCTCAGAGTGTTTTCCTATTACATCCTATCTCTTCTTGCCTGGCTTTATTAAGAACCAGCTGCTTTTAATCTAAGCGCTAGTCCCACACAGGTTTGTAAGAACATTGTCGCATCTGCTGAAATAAGATAATACAACGAAACATTATCAACATATTGGCCCCTCAGATATTTTCTAGAGCTCTTGCACCCGCAAGACTGTGGGTGGGCAGTACTTCCCTGGCTTTAAAATGAGCATACCACATGCAAGAAATCCCTTGGCATATCCTAAGGCATATCCCTTGTCATTTGAATCCAAACAATTTCAATAGTCTACTGTTTG